ATCAGAAGTAGCGGATCTCAAGCCTATGCTCGAGGCTTTTCTTCTTGATCCACTCTTCATCTTCATCAAGTTTCCATTTCATTACTATTTGTTCAATCATTCTTCAATCTGCAAATGCAGTCCATTTCCAATTGTTCTTCTGGTTACTAACAGCATCTTTCACCACCACCCTTTTGATCTCCAGGTAATCAATTTTTTTTATTTTTCGTTTCTGCAATTGGGTATGGTTAAATTCGTTCTAATGCTTTTTTTCTTTCGATGTTGTATTTATTTCCCACTATAATGTATACTATCAGAACTGAGTCGTTTTATTTGCTAGGAGTTTCTTCAATTCAGATTGATACCCTGATATTGGTTTTGTATGTATGGTTTTGATTTTTAGTTGGTTACAATTTTGCTTCTGTTGAGCATTTTAATTTCTTTAAGCAAAATCCGGATATTTATTAATGTTTTCAAGTTACTGTTGTGTGTTTGATTTTGGTTTAAGGATTCCATAAACTGTGGTGGACCAATTATTTTCTTTCTTTGTTGGCCAGTACTTCATTTTGTTGATTCCACCAGCCTTCTGCTATTAGAGAAGTACAGTCAGCGGGAACATCTATTGAATGGTTTTACAAGTTCCCCTTGATCTTTGAAGAGTATGACAATTTGCTTCTTGGGAGATTAAGGTATTTCGATAATGAGTTGATACTTTGAGGATTATGGAGCACCTGCCTGTTGAGGTCATTGGTAACATACTGTCCCGGCTCAGTGCTGCACGAGATGTGGTGGTAGCCTCCACAACATGTCAGAAATGGCGAGAAGCTTGCTGCAAACACCTTCACACGCTTTCATTCAATTCCAATGATTGGCCTGTGTATCGGGATTTAACAACTAGTCAATTGGAAATCTTAATAACGCAAACAATTTTTCAAACTACTGGATTACAAGGTCTATCAATCTTAATGGATGATGTTGAAGAATTCTTGGGTTCCACTGTTATTGCATGGCTCATGTACACCAGAGAAACGCTTCAGCAATTGTTTTATAATGTTCAGACTGCTCCAAATGTGAACATTCTAGAAATTTGTGGGAGGCAAAAGTTGGAAATGTTGGTCTTGGGCCATAATTCTATCACAGGAGTTGAACCCAAATTTCAGAGATTTCCTTGTTTGAAATCTCTTTCTTTGAGTTACGTTAGTATTTCAGCATTGGATCTGAGCCTTTTGCTAAGTGCATGCCCAAAGATTGAAACCTTAGAACTTGTCAGCCCAGAGATAGCAATGTCAGATGCACAAGTGACTTTTGAGCTGAGCAGTCCAACATTAAAGAGCATTTATGCAGAAAGAATCAGTTTGGAAAAGTTTATATTGGAGGCTGATAGCATTCAGCGTTTGCACATGAAAGCTTGTGCTGTTGAGGTCTTTGAACTCATTGGAAAGGGGACCTTGAAGCATTTCAAGATTGATGATGTTAGTGTCTTTCATCTTGATATCGGTGATACTGTTGAAAACCTTGAGATTGTAGATATTAGCAATTTTACAATTATATGGCCAAAATTTTACCAGATGATCTCGAGATCATCAAAATTGAGGAGGCTTCGGCTATGGGATGTGATTTTTTATGATGAGGATGAGATTGTGGATTTAGAAACGATTGCTGTCTGTTTCCCACAGCTGAGTCATTTGTCATTGAGTTATGATTTAAGAGATGGAGTGCTTCACTATGGTTTGCAAGGATCTTCTCATCTGGAGAATGTTACTTTCTTGGAGCTTGGGTGGACTCTAATCAATGATCTCTTCATACATTGGGTTGAAGGGCTGTTGAAACGATGCCCAAGTCTTAAGAAATTGGTTATTCATGGGGTTGTTTCAGAAGCCAAAACCCATGAAGAATGCCAAACATTAGCAAATTTCACCTCATCCATCGTCCAGTTCATGAGACAATACATGTATGTAGAGGTGCAGTTTGAGTATGAGTAGAAACATTGCAACAAATATGTGAAATTCCAGTTTTGTTCAATTGTAAATTGTGTATGCGCATATGCAGGTAAATTTTACAGCTTGTTGAGCATAAGCAGCTTTTTGCATTCTATATGATAGTTGATCTCTCTTCCCCTGATTGATTTAGTAGTTTCTTAAACAAAAAATGGCTCAAGATCTCTCTCTCTCTCTCTCTCTCACACACACACACAGAGTTACATGCTCATGTGCAAATATAGGCGTGCACACACATCCACACATGCTAGTGCACACTGTTTTCTGTTGTTTTGCCTTGCTGATTTGCCTCCTTTTTCTTATGTCGCTTTTGTAATCTTTCTTCAAGTGCCTTCGAGTGCCATTGATCAGAGTTACACAGTTTACCCCTGTTATTTGTCTCGATTGTCTTTTTTCCTTATTTTGTTGTAACTTATAGTTGTGGTAGCAATGCAGTTACAAATTTATTGTGATATTGCTGTTACTTCTCCCAAATTTGAATGTTATTACGCTTCCACTTCAAAAGGCATCTGTCTTTTATATGGTTGAGACTGTAGGTTTGAATACAGTTATTCACTGGAGCTACTCTGATACAGAAAGCTCTTATTGCTCTTTTAAATCTATTTTAAAATGACTGATTTTAGGAGAAGAAAGACTAAAATAAAGTGTGGGTGTAATTTTTCTGCCCGTTCACTTAAAGCGTTGAGTATTATTAATGGCTGGCAATTGGGGCTTTGATTACCTCATTCAATGAAAGGATCCTCACTCGTCAGCTATATGTTAGCAGATGGGTAGGAATTGCTGAGTTCTGAATTAGGGTAACATGTGAAAAAGGATTTTTTTTTCTCCACCGGAATCTTATGATTTCTATAACAGATGACCATTTCTAGTTATTTTGGTTTTGAAGGATTCTTAGTATTGGTCCTTATAAAGAGGAGTGTGCGACTAGGAATTAGCGCCAGGAGGAGTCATTATGTTTGAGAGCTTGAAATTCTTATAATTGGTTGGGGGCTGTTGAACAGTGAAAGATGTCAGCTTACCTGACTACTATCTTCACACCTATTTCATTTTTGTAATGACAACTTATTATAATTTATGCTACTGTTTACCTAATTGACCTCTGTGGCCAGTTAGCTAGTATTTCCAAATATTCTTCAAATGTAAATTAAAATATCTTTGTTGCATGTTGAATGTCACATCTCTGCCATCATTGATAGTTTTGTTCCTCTGCTACATTTTTTTTGGTGATGTGAAAAGTTTCTTGCCCTTGTTGTGATCAGTCCATCTTGGATTTTATGTCTCTTGTTTCTGCACCAGATGCTTTATCTAATAGAATTGATGATAGATAAACTGCATTCTCATAAATAGTCATATGTTGATGCATATGCCTGATTCATCAGCTAAGTCCACATCAGTGATCAATACGATCATTCCTTGATAAGGCTAATTTATGATAGCTGGAGCCTGGGTTTCTGGTTAGATAGGCAGCTGCAAAAGACAAATGCAATGGAAAGATATAGGAAAAAGAATGAAGAAATTTGTTTAAAGACTGTCATTTGATTATAGAAACAAGTGTAACGTTTAGTTGTGTGATAGATAATAGAGAATGTTGTCTGAATATAATGAAAAATTAGGCATCTTGCTTTTCCAGGTTTCTTTTAGTTATGGATTTTTAGCATGTTGTCCATTGGGATATCAGACACCAGATTGTGTCTTCTGGCCTTTTCACCTTGTATTCTAGGTGAGGATTTTTATCATTTTTGTTTTTCTGTGTTGGGGTATTGAGTGGTTGGCAACCTTGAGTCTTTGAGTATCTATGCTCCTCTGCTTTGATTGGATTTTCACATCTTGCATTAATTGTAGTGTGAAGCAGGAGCTATGCTGCTAAATTTCTTCACGAGAATACGTATACAGGCTATGATACATATCTACACATATATGGTTGAGAACTCTTATTCAAAGTTCTGTGGAAAACGGTAATGTCTGATCTTTTGGACTTGTTAATTAGGTATAAAAACGCCATATTAAGACACTAAATAAATTTTTTCCCTTAGACTATGTCCTTGCATGGCTCCTGGAAATGCTCATGGAGTCTTCGGCCTTGGCCACTGTATGTTATGGAAATGAACATAGTATTTGAGGCTATGTAGCATTCAAGTTAATATACCACGTTTAAGGCATACTTCGACCACTTGTTTATACTATCCCATTTTTGGTTTTTATATGAGACATTAGGGTCACCAATTTGTTCATCCAGAGGTTTATGGGATAAGGTGCTTCACTGATTTTCATGTTCTCTTCCTTCCCTGTTTTCAAACTTAATATTCTATGGCATTTTTTCTGAGTTTTGAACAGCCAGAAAACTTTTATGTGAAATGGTTATAGTTCTAAGACCATAGAGTGAAAGATTCCTACTCAAAATTATGGTGGTTAAGACTTTCTGAAAAAGTTAGGGTCTGTTGAGATATATTTTTGTTGTTCTCTGGCGATCTCTTTTCTATCATGGACAGGAATATAAAGACCACTAGGCCAGTGATGCCCACCGTTTCTGGAGTCTTTCTTGAGGTGCTAATTGCATAAAAAGTTGGCACTAGGCATTAGCGGAGTCCCACATTGCCTGGGTACCTTTGAGATGTGTTGTAAGGTGATTTTATGGATGTGTTCTATCGATAGATTTAACATGGTATTAGCTAAAGGGCAGGTGTACTGCAGGGATGGTGGGTTCTCATAGTTGCATTTCCTGCCCAAAGTAGAATGGGAGAGCTGAGTGGCTCCAGCCCTAGCTCTGAGATGAAGTGTTAGCCTACTTTGACATTGCCTTGGTACCTTTAAGATATGCAGCAACATATAAACACAAGACCCTCTTATAAGCGGGTCGTAAAGGATGAGTTCTACTTACAGGTTTTCTAGTCATTGTGGATCAGTCACATTTTTTAAGATATGTTTTGTTTGCAAAAATCTCTGAATTTCCAACCTACAATAGAAACAGCCTGATGGTCAAGTGCTTATTCTCAAGTTTCTTTCCGATCAAAGATATTCGGAGGCTGGGAAGACGCTCTGTTAAATCTGATCGTGGCCGAAGCCTGCCCTTGTCTTTGAAGTATGTTGATGATTATGGGTTTCATTTTTGTTGCACAGAAGTTTCACAGGTACTTGAGTATACAAGCATTGCATTGATTGCAGACTTATTTGTTGTTCCAACAAATACATTTTCAAACCGGGTTTCTAGATTTGAAAATTTCATTTCCTTAGCCGGTCAATGATTTGTGCACAGACTATGTAATCTACATAAGTAATTAGATCTTGGAAATAATCTACTCGAATAGATATTCATCGTATGCAAATCAATATCATTTTTCATTAGGCGAGATCTCGTTAGCTGTCTCTAGAGCCCTTAATGAGTGGGGTTGTGAGCAAGCTACCGCTAAGTGAGATAGGCTACTGGAGGGCCCATCGCGGGACTCACCACCCTGGCCCACTCTCCTAATCCTCATAAAAATTTCCCTTTTTATAATCCAAGGCTATTCCCCTCTGCAATAAATACAAAACCGTATGCGCATTTTCTCTCTCTTTTCTGGTGTGCAAATTTGGATTATGCATATGCCACCGCTGCACCTGATGACCACTGTAACAACATCTGGACTTCGAAGTCCTTCCAATCCCAATGGCAGCATGCATCACACACCACGGGATAAGAAAGTAACAATTAATTACAATTAGGAAACTTAATCAGTCACATGTTGCAATTAAGAAACATAATTACAGTTAGTTTCTCAGATTTGCTCATGAGTTTCGCTAATCATGATTGAGTTCATAATTACTATCTTAATTGGGTTCACTGCTAATCATTGGCCAACATAATAATCTTATTGTTCTTGGTAATAGGTCAACGCTAGGATCTATCTCAAACACAGATACCTTTCATGGCATCCCCTTCTAAATCTGTGCATTTTACCTATAAAGAAGCAAGAAGATGCATGTAGCCTTACAAATGTGGACACGCGTGCAATTAAATGATGTCTTAATAATAAAAATGCAAGTTGGGTCTGGTTCAATTCAAGCCAATAATACTATAATAAAACAACTACATTAATATATTTTAATCTAAGTCCTCTTATTGCTTAGGTGACAAGCAATTATGACTAAATCCAGTTTTAACATAATCTACAAGGCCATAATTAAAGTTAGAATTTGAGCCACCCAATCAGCTATTTCCACACAAGCAAAAGAACATATAAAGAACTACAATTAGAGGGAATGTAAGATCTATGCAATACATAATTATCCGACAATGTCTTCTCAAGAGATCTCTCATATGAAGAACATGTTGTGAGGTTTATTGAGAGCAAAAGCATGACTTAAATACATATTTACCTAATCCATGAATATTTCTCAATTTGAACCAAACCCTTCTTTTTTAAATAAAAAACCAATCATTGGTATATATCATAAGGGAATAATTGGTTGAAGGCATATTATACCTACAAAGGTAGTAGATAAGCAGAACATAAAATATTAATGCTAAATGTACATATCAATCTCTTAATTAAAAAGGTTATGGGTCCATTACAAACTCTCTCTCTCTCTCTCTCTATATATATATATATATATTTATATATTTTCCTCAATAATGTTGGTATAGCCTTAAATTAGTGTGAATATAATTCTTAATCACCTCTTTTCCTTTATTCTTTTTTGCGTTAAACTTCCAATTAATCTATAGTTATTTTCCTTCTAATGACAGTTTTAATTGGGTTTCTAGCTCCTCAAAGAAACTATAGGTTTGGTACAAACTGAAAAAAAATAAAAAAAATAAAAAAAATACACCTAATGTTGGAATAAGGAGTAGTTTATGAAAGCAAACTCAATCAATCAGCCATGACATTAGACCCCCTGGCTAGAACTCAGATAAATATATTTCTATTAATAGTAAGGAATCTTAATGAGCCATGGTTTTAGGTAATGACAGGGAATGGATGTTGACCCATCAACAAAGGTGATAATACCAAACAAATCCATCTCAGAAGCAGGGATTAAATATACATAAGTGGGCTTTGCTTGTGGATTATTATTCTAATGTTTTAGTTGAAAATGGTATAAGCAAAACTTTACAAATACTTTTTTTTTTAAACCCTCTCTTTCTCAAGGGTCCCCCCCCATCCCTACCCCCTAGTTGTCAGAAATAATCTCCATCCCCTCTTTTGGGCTAGAAAAAAAGATCACAGAAAACCCATTTGCAGCTTTTCCTTTCCTCCTCAGTCCTCACCTTTTACCATCTTTTGTGAAAGAAAACCTTGTCTCATCTCATATAAAAATGATGAATTCATTGTTATTTATTTTGATTTATCCTGTAAGACTGTAAGTACTTGCATCTCTGAAGAAGCACAATAAAAAAGAACCAATGGCATAGCACAGGCGGTTAGAAGAGAGAGAGAGTGGAGTAGGAGTCATTGATTCCAGTGGGTTCCTGCCAAAGACCCCACACTTGATTTTTCTTTTTTTTATTTAAATTTTTTCCTCATTTAATATTATAATATATGTTTTTTTTCAATTTTCTGTTTTCAAACCCCACACACCCAAGAGGCCTGAGCTGAGAGACAGGTCTTGCAAGGACAAGATTTTCTGTACCATGGGATGAGTTTCAAAATATGATAATATTTACTATAGAGAGAGAGAGAAGGGTGATAAAGCAACCCCAAACACAGACAGAGTAATCAATTAGCTTTCTTCATAGAGAAGTAGAGAAAGAAGGAGACAGAGACACCCTCCTCACAGAGAGAGAGAGAGAGAGAGAGAGATCAAAAGTTGCAAACAGAGACATAAATGAGAGAGAGACTTACTGGACCCTCTCTCTCCTGTGGCTTCTTTTAGATTATATCCTTTGATCTTTGCTGCTTTGCTTTGCTTTGTGTATATGTCTCTTTCAAGTTCTTTGCTCCATATACACTTGGTCTAGGAATCTTAAAGCAAAACAATTGAGGTAAAGAGAGAAGTGAAATTCCTGGGAAATTGTTTTCCCATTCCCAAGTCCTCTGTTTCTTCTAGCTAACTGAAAAAAACAAAACAAAACAAAAAAACAAAAGTTTTCTTAACTATGGCTTTCATTTCTGCTACATGTCCCGATTCCAGCTTCTTCTTGGAGTACAAAGATGAAAATGGTCTGAGAAAATCTTGCATGGCGAGTCATAGAGTTGGAGAGACTGCTACTGGTTTATCAGAATCAGGACCTTCAAATCACCATGTTCCTTATGCTGTTCTTCATGGGATGAATGCTCCGTCAACCAGTTTTCTGTATGATATCACATCAATTTCCAAACTTTCATTCAAATATTGCAATTTCAAGACTAATTTCCACTTGGGTTTCTTTTACTTTTCCAATTTGATTAATTCTTTTGCTGTTTGTTTTTCTCTGATCTGTTCATGTTTTTCTTTTGACATGGGCTATTAATTCTTTTTTTGCTTCTTTTGTTGGTTGCTAGCAATCAAGAAGGATCTGCCTTTGATTTTGGAGAGCTGGAAGAAGCAATTGCGCGGCAAGTTAGAAATGATGAAGCTCAAGCACGTATGTTTCTACACCTATCATCATTTCTGCTTTTGGTGACGTTTGATAAAGCATAACCAACCTCTTTAGAAAAGCAGAGAGAGAGAGAGAGAGAGAGAGAGAGAGAGAGAGGGGTTGAATATGTCTACTGGAAGCATAGAGAGGGTGGGGGGGTGGAGGTTACCATTTCCAATACAGTAATGATTCTGAGACAAGAGAGTTGAAGGGCGTGAGGCTACAAACTTAGAAAACTTTAGCATGATTTTTTACTGACTCCGTAACTGCAGAAAAGGAGGATTAGGTCCTCCCTCCCCCAACACCTTTTGATGCTTTGTAAAAATCTTGCAAGTCTTTATTTTGGCGATCCTCTGAGATTTGGCTTTTGTGATTCTTTGCAGCTTTATTCACAGGCAGGCCTGCTGCTACTCTGGAAATGTTCCCTTCTTGGCCAATGAGATTCCACCAAACCCCAAGGGTACAGCTTTGACCATCTCCATCCATAATTTATTCTCTCACAATTTTCAAATTGGGTTTTTCCTTTTTTTAAAATTTTGTTTTAGTGATTTTCATAATTACCCAGATGGAAATTTGATTAATTTTTGCTTTGGAAATGGCAGGGAAGTTCAAAGTCAGGAGGGGAAAGCACAGACTCAGGATCACAAGTGAACACTCTCACAAGCAAGGGAGAGGGTGGCCAGTTGGAGCCAGAATCTCCAATCAGTAAAAAGGCATCTTCCTCAGATCACCAACAGGCTTTTGATCAGAAGCATCTACAGTTTCAACAGCAGCAACAATTGCAGGCTCAAGACATGGCAATAAGTGACAGCTCAAGAGGAGGAGCAGGAGGAGGAGGAGCTTCACAAAGTCAATCAGCTGCCAAACCATCCCAGGAAAAGGTTCTTTAAATTAAACTCTTGTTTTGCAACTGTAATCTCTCATTTCTTTCTCATATCATATCATCCCATATCCCCACAACTGAGGAAAAAGTTGGCATCTTTATTGTTATTATTACTGTTTTCATCTCTCTCTCTCTCTCTCTCTCTCCAAATATTATAGCACAGATCCCAAAACTCAGAAAATCAAAAGAAAGACAGTTTACCTGATTTCTGAACGATTTTCTGATAAGATGTCTGACACAAGAAAGAGAGAGAGAGTTTGTACACAAAAACATATAAAAATAATAATAAAAGAAAAGGAAAGGTGAGAATCTTCACAGTAGTTACCACTGTTTTCAGCCTATAATAAATATGCCCCACTTTACTCACTATTTTTTGCCTATAACACAATCAAAACTCGTTGTTTCTTTCGCCTTCAAAAATCCACTTTGAAATTAGAAACCCAAATTTACTTGCCTCGAGAGCAGCACTCAAGTCATTAGCATCACAAATCAGAAATGCTTCCTGGAAATTCTGTGAGCTTTTCTAATCATTGTTGTGGTTTTGTTTCAATCAAATCATGGAATCTCCCCCTATAATTCTGCATATATGTCTAATCCAACTATCCAAGCATATATAAAAACACAACTTTTTTTCTTCTTCTTCTTTTTCCTTCCATTTCCATCTTTTAAAAAAAAACCAAATAGAGATGCCATGCCACCTTCCTCACGTCTCCTTGTTCCCAACCTAAAAACAATTTCTTAATTTATTTTGGTAATTTATTCCATGTGGGTATTTCCAGACTCAATCAAAACTCTCTCTCTCTCTCTCTCTCTCTCTCTCTCTCTCTCATGTTTTCAATGTTCCAGAGGAAGGGAGCTGGTTCTACATCAGAGAATAAACAACTTGATGCTAAGGTTTTCAACATAACAATATTCTTGCATTTCTTCGTTCACACTCTTTGACTTCAACTTTGAACTGAAGTACCTTTCATTGGTTCAGACATTGAGACGTCTAGCTCAAAACAGAGAAGCTGCAAGAAAAAGCCGTCTCAGAAAAAAGGTAAATGCATTTTTCTTTTTCTTTTTTTGGTGAAAAGGTAAATGCATTTTTCAAATTATCATTTTCCATAACTCAATTCCCAGCTACTTTATTTAGCTTAATTATTATTTTAATGGTCCATTCTCTCCTTGTCATTAGGCTTATGTGCAACAGCTAGAGACAAGCAGAATAAAGCTCACCCAGCTAGAACAAGACCTTCAAAGAGCGCGCGCTCAGGTTTAAAACTATGAAAATTTATTTTTGACTTCAAAAATTACAACAGTTAAGATTTATTGTTTATTTTGTTAATGGTATTGAAATATATATATTTTTTCAATTATTTTCTTAGGGTTTGTTCTTGGGTGGTTGTGGTGGCGGTCTTGGCAATATCAGCTCAGGTGAGTTTCTCGACAAAAACCTTTTTATGTATTTTTTTAGAAATAAAAATAAAAATATCTTTTGACATTGAAGCTTCCAGTCAAATATGGATAACAAATTTACAAATTTAATTTAATTTGGCAGAAAACTCGGAGTTTGGCCAAATTATTTAGAAAAATTGTATCATGTATTTTAAATGGAGCAGATCTTTCAGATGTATAAAGATGATTTTTTTAGTTGTTTGGCCTTTTCCGAACCTAAAAGCCATAACTGGGGTTTAACTTTTATCTGTGCATGCATTATTTAAATCCCCCCGTGCTATAACTTTTCAACTTTTAGCACAATAATGTACTCTTAAAACATGTGCTTTATTTTCTACGCAGTAAATTGGTCATGATCATGTATAAATTATTTATTTATTTCGTTATTGTTTTTTTAGGTGCTGCAATATTTGACATGGAATATGCAAGATGGCTAGAAGACGACCACCGGCACATGTCGGAGCTCCGAACAGGGTTGCAGGCACATTTATCCGATAGCGATCTTCGCGTAATTGTGGATGGATACATTTCACACTATGATGAAATTTTCCACCTGAAGGGAGTGGCTGCTAAATCTGATGTGTTTCACCTCATTACTGGAATGTGGACTACCCCAGCTGAGCGTTGCTTCCTCTGGATGGGTGGTTTTAGACCCTCTGAGCTCATCAAGGTTTGGGTTTATTTCCATGTTTATGCACGCAACTATTATTATCATATATATCAGAACTTATCTAGCTAGGACTAATCTTGTGGATTATGAATTATGGTTAAATAATCTTGTTGTACTTCCCTTTAATCACTTGTTTTACTTAATGGGTGTTTCTCTAATCAGATGTTAACAGCACAGTTAGACCCACTAACAGAACAGCAATTCATGGGGATATATAGCCTCCAGCAGTCCTCGCAACAAGCAGAAGAGGCACTTACTCAAGGTCTAGAGCAGCTTCATCAGTCTCTGGTCGACACCATTGCCGGTGGGCCAGTCATCGACGGCATGCAACAGATGGCCGTGGCTTTGGGCAAGCTCACTAATCTTGAAGGCTTCGTTCGCCAGGTAAATAAAAGTAGTAACAAAACATGATCATCAGAAATAAATAATATAGCATTATTTTATTAATTTGACCGTGGAAAACCAAAGCTCATTTTGCATCCATCACGCAAGGTCATGCATGTACTTCATATATATAATTAATCTCTTTGTTAAGAATTGTTTTATAACATGCAGTAGTCATTTTGTTCTTCTTTCTATTGAACCCTAGGAGGTTATTTATATATAAAGCTATTATTTTATATATTTATTAGCAAGCTTGCCTGGTGCTTTTTGAAAATGAATTTGTGTCGGAGAGTAAAACGTGGTGTCTCGTTCAGTCGATTTCTGAAAAGCATATTAAAAAGTTGTTCTAGTTTCATATTGCATTTTCCAGATTTGACCGATACATATCGATGTCTAGGTAAAATCCGTTCTATAAAGTCCTAGACTAACCCACTTTTCAAAATATCCGAGGACTGATTAGATTTTGCGTGACGAATCAGCAAATAGTTGATGGAAAATGGAACCCACTTGAACAAGATTAAGATTATCTTTACGAAAAGGGCGGCGATTTTTTTATAGTTGTGGAGCATTATTATAGGCTTCACATCTATCAACGACTACCAGTCACGCTCATTAC